AGAGCACTGGAACAGGCTGCCCAGAGAGGTTGTAGAGTCTCCTTCTCTGGAGATCTTCAAGACCCACTTGGACGCAGTCCTGTGCCACGTGCTCTAGGTGACCCTGTGTGTGCAGGGGGGTTGGACTAGATGACCTCTAGAGGTCCCTTCCAACCTTAAGCATTCTATGATTCTATGAACAATAGTCTAAAACGTGTTTTCCAATTTTGAGAGAGAACCAGCAGAAGTCTGCAGGACATTCTCTGCTCTGCGTAAGATGTATTTGGGTTCTGAGCAGCACGGTGCTGGCTTTGACTTTTAGCTCTCTGCCCTGCAGCTTGGTAGCAGAAATACCAAATAAGTCTTACCTAAAAAGAGGATACTTTTTACAGGTGTCCGATGGTTTAAGTTCTGCTCTCACCAAAATCCAGCAGTAAAACTTCCTCTCAAGTAAACAGATGTAAAAGCATATCCGAGAAATCCCTCCCATACTTCCACCCAACATGCTGATTTGGCTTTCGGTGATATAGGTTTAAACAACTTATAAACTCTGATTTTCATAAGCTTTGGATTGGAACCACCACAGAATAAAAAAAAAATCCATACGCAGTTAAGCATTTTGAAAAAAAATATTATTTTCTCAGATTGCACATTCAAAACTTGAGCTACACACTGCACAGTATAGGAACAGCACTTAGCCAATCCAATTATCACCACGTAGGTGTCTTTTGATTAGTTTGCCTGTAGTCCCTTTCAAACTCGGTCAGTGGCAAGAGAAGGACTCAAAATTTAACTAGTCAGTGGCCACGATATTATTCTTGGTCTGTAAAATGTCCTCAGTCTGCACAGCACACTCTTTTCGATATCTTTGTGGCTACAAGGACACACGCCCTAACATGGACAACAGGACTGAGTCCAACCTTGGTATCACTGTTCAAAGTGACTTGTTCTGAGGACAAGGGTGAGGGGACAGGCTCCCAGATTAGGAGCCTGAACTCTTTCCACAGGAATGAATATTTCTAGCTTTCTTATGTTAATTAGTGCTCTTCTCCAACAGATATGTTTTACTTTAATAATCACTCACCCAAATAAATAAACAAACACACACAACAGTACTTTGCACTTTGCTAGCTTCTTTTGTCCAAAGTCTTTGAAGCATTTTACCAAGTTGGGTGTTGTTATTTCCTGGGCCTCTCAGCAATCTCAAGAGCCCAACTCTGCTTCCTTTTATATCATTGGAAGCAGGCACAGCCCTCAAGGACTTACCAGGTGTCACACAAGGAGCCAATGACTGCCAGTGAGAACATAACTCAGGTGCCCTAATTCCTACTTTCTTGCTGGCTGTTCTCAATAGCACCAATTAGCTAATCTCTAATGCAAAGGAAGTACATTCCATCAAAACCTATTTCTTCATATCCAACACTGATTTTGTAATGTTTTCAGGCTTGCAGGCTGCCAGGGTACTTTGGTCTACAATTACCATCACTGTTAATGTAAGGAATCTTCTTTAAAACCTTCTAAGAGGTTTTAAACCTGCTGTCGCCTCCTGTGAAAATTTGGTAAGCAGTCTGCACAGAAAGGCCCATGTGCCTATGGCCTTATGTCGTCTTCTGGTTTTATCTTCCGTGTTGCATGTTAGAAACATCTGCAAGAAGCAGGATTTTGGCTGCTGCCACTTCTGCCCTGTGCGCTGGGTCCGATGCCATGGCCACAGTGATGTGTCCCCACGCGGCGTCATGCGTGGAACACAGCAGAAAGGGCCTGCTTGCAGACAGCTGTTCTTTGCTACAACCCAGCAGACAGCAAATGTGGAAAAACGCAGCAGAACACTGTCTTATTTAACTGCTTTCCACAGGGTGTAGGCAGGCGTTTTCACATTTCCAGTGCATTAGCGGTAGAAGGACTCATTTCCCTCTACACAGTATTGAGTTAGAGTTAAAAAATGCTGTGATCCTTGTTAAGAGAATCTATAACATAGCTTATTTTGTGCATCCACTTTCTTGTGCCCTAAAGTGAGAATACAACTGTTAGTACCAGTGGGCAGATAAATCCTGCCCTGCTTCGTAGACAATGATAAGAGCTGGGTGAGCTTGATATTGCAAGCAATTCAAAGAATCACAGAATAATTTACGTTCCAGTCTCCTGCCCAAAGCAGGATTAGGTTGTTCAGGGCCTTGTTATGCCAAGTTGTGAGTATTGCCAAGAGTGGAGACTCCACAGACTCTCTAAGGAGGGAGCAAATAATCTGCAAGTCTGTGACAAAGGCCAGTTTCCGCAAGTGCATTTTCGTAATTTACTGAATAAATGGGTCACATAGATGCCTTTCAGTTTGTGGACTTCTGTTTTCCCTTCTCCAAAAGAAGAGAATTCTGCAGACATTTATAACAGAAACGTGGAAAGGAAGAGTGCTAAGGGCACCAGGGAGAAAAAACTGCCACAAACTGTAGTTTTTGTGAACAATTTTAACAGGTTCTGCCCAGCTCTGATCATAGTATCTACTTGCCTGGTGTTATGAAATCTTGGTCTGTGCTTTTCTCCCCCTACATGTGACCAGCAGTGGGTAAGGTGCACCCAAAGGCCCGAATACAGTGTCCTCATCATTATCATGGAAGAGACAACAGCTTTGAGAATGCAGCCCTGTAACTTAAACCAAGCTGAACTGCGCTCAAATCAGAATGAGGTGAGTTGGTGTTGGTTCTTTTTTTAGGCCTGTCATCTCTACTGCCTGCATTGCCACACTAAAAGAAGAGTGCGGCTGCAGTCAGCCCCAGCTCAGGCAAACAACGGGTAACTCACAGCTTTCAAGCAAATCTCTGCAGTCCTCTCTGAGAAAATGTGTGTGCTTGTGGGGTGGAGGACAAAAAGGCTCACTTCCCCTCTCTGAAGATGATTGAGGTCAGTCGTTAAAACATGCCCCAAAACAAAAGCATATTTTAAAAAGTACGTGAAATAGCTGCCACGGTTTTTGTGCGGTACCCTGCTCCTCCTGTCAAAATAATAAATTAGGGTGATTGTTGTTTGTTGTTGCTTTTAAATGTTCTAATGCAGAGGAGCTTTCTGATGCTTTATGATGGACATCCTTAGGTGAAGTATCCCCACTTATCCATGAAAAGACCTTTCATTTCTTATCCAGGTTGGCATGCAGTTCTGCTTCCAAAGCCATCTTGTCAAAGGTGCGCATGTTGGTCTCCTCCCGTACCTTTTCCCGGACATGGAAGGATGCGCGAGCGACAGATCTGGCATTTTCTAAGACTGTCTTCTTCTCCTTGAAGATTTGCTCACTCCTCTCCAGCTTCCTCTCTATAGAGAGGAGGATCTCTCTGCGTCGTAAGTCCTCGTACTGCTCTACCTTTTGCTTGTTCATCTTTTGCACCTTCTCCTTTTCCAGGCGGCTCATGACCACTTTGCGAGCTTTCTCCTGGACCACCTCTTCGGCCACCTGGGCAGCATGCTGGAGCTTTCTCTCTGTCTCTTTAGCCAGGGCTGCAAGGTGCTCCTTTTGCTCTCTTTCCTTCCTTTCCGCTGCCAGTTTTGCCCTCTGAATCTGCATCTCCTCCCGCCTGGCCTTTTCCCTCAGCTCCTGGTTCCTCTTCTCCATTAGCTGCTCGTAGTTCTCTTGAGCTTTTGTTAAACTCATCTCCAGGGAGGCCTTCAGCATCTCCTTCTCTTCTGCCTCTTGCTTGGCCAGTTCCTTGAGCAAGGCCTCGTGCTTCAACTTCTCTGTTTGGTTGAGCAGTTTCTTCTCCTTCTGCAGCTGCACCTCCTTCCTCAGCCTCTTCTGTGCAGCTGTGGACAGCTTCTCTTGGAGAAGCTGCTCCTCTCGCTCTCGGTGCTCCCTTTTGACGTCCTCCTTTGCCTTCAAGTTGTGCTCTTGGTGGAGCTTCTTCTGCTTGTCCTCCTGGATGGCCCTCTCCAGCTTCTCCCTCCGCAGCCGCTCCTGCTTTTCTGCCTGCTCGCGCCACCTCTCCTCGCACACCAGGCGCTGCTTCTGCTTCAGCAGGGCAGCCTCGTGCTGCTCCTGGCTCAGCCTGCCTCGCCGCTTCTCCACCTGGCACTCCCACATGCGCTGGCCCTGCGCGAGAGCCCTCTGCTTCTCCTTCTCCTCCTGCTCCTTCCGCTGCTCCGCCAGGCGCCGCTGGCTGTCCCACTGCAGGTGGGCCGCCTGCCGCTGCTCCCGCAGGAGGCTGGCCTCCTGGTGCTTGGCGAGCATCAGCGCCGCGATCTTCTTGTCCCTCTCGGGCACCTCCTTGAGGCCCTTCTTCCTCTTCACCTCCCTGACGATCCTCTCCACGCGCTGTGCCGTCTGCGGCGAGTGGCTGAGGTCGCCGAGGCTGAAGCTGCGGCCCAGCAGGGAGTTGGCGGCTGCCCGCTCGCGGGGGCGGCCCTTACCACGCTCCCGCAGGCTCTCCCCGCTGTAGGAGGACGAGGCCCCCGACTCCGAGGACGTCTTGCCCCAGGCGCCTTCCCGCCGCTTCTGCAGTGAGTCCAGCGAGTGGCTCTTGGTCTTGGCCCTGGCTCCTGATGCCGCCCTGGCCTCACCAGTGGGCTGGGGCGCCGTGGCTGCCGGGGTGGCCCTGGGGGCCAGGCGGGTGGCAGGAGAGGGCGGCAGGCTGCCGAGGGGCCCAAGGATCCTCCTCTTCTCCTCGCGGATGATCCTGTCGCGCTCATCGCGGCA